CCCTGCCCGTTATCAAGTTGCCAACGTCCTGTTCAGTTCCAGTGAAATGACTACGTCCTGTCATGTATGAAGTTACCAATGTCGTGCCCAGTTATAGCAAATTAACTACGCCCTGCCCGTTATCAAGTTGCCAACGTCCTGACCAGTTCCAGTGAAATAACTACGCCCTGCCCGTTATCAAGTTGCCAACGTCCTGTCCAGTTCCAGTGAAATAACTACGTCCTGCCCTGTATGAAGCTACCAATGTCGTGTCCAGTTACAGCAAATTAACTACGCCCTGTCCGTTATCAAGTTACCAACATCCTGTTCAGTCTCAGTGAATTAACTACGCCCATCGCTGCATCGAGTTATACAAGTCCTGTCGGTAGTGAGCTACCCACTTCGTGTTCACTTCCAGTGAATTAACTACGCATTTCCCTGTATCGAGTTATCTACGTCCTGTCGGTAGTGAGCTACCAACTTCGTGTCCAGTGAGCTGTGAAGTCCTGTGGCCTGTCCGGTCACTCAGTTTAACAACGCCCTGTCCTGTTTCAACGAGCCACCAACGTCCCGTTCTGCATCAAGCTGCACATGCCCGATCCTGTATTGGTGAGTTACCCACGAACTGTCCAGTGTCGGCGATTCGCCTACATTCTGTCCAGTGAGCTGCCGATGTCCCGTGACCCGTCCCGGTCACCCACACCTCAATGACTGTGTCCCAAGATCGCCATATAGGACAATTGAAGTTTGTGAGAGAACTATTGACAGTAAAGAACCATTGACACTTAATTAAGCCCAGTGTGTGTTTTGAATAATATTTACATTCTATAGGACATTTCACGAACCAGGCAAGTTGGATTTGTATTGTTTAAAACATTTTTGGCATTAATTTTCTTATGACTGATGTATTAACATTTTTTTTACCTGGGTAGAATTTAGATTTTTGCTAGAGTTAGTAGACAGCGATTGGTCCTTAAAACTTAATTATTGTTTACTGTATGATCACCCTTAATTTGCATTGCTATGGCTGGATATGTCAGTAGGAAATGGAGTTTAGAAGAAATTAGGCATGTGGGTGTGTTACTTCTTTATACGGGAGAGAACCTAGAGGAGTATATAAGAGTTAAGGTCGAAGAACACGTACGGGAAGAGAGAGAGGATGAACTTAGAGCCAGAGAGGAAGAACGTATAGATAGAAAGAGAGAGGAAGAACGTATATATAGACAGAGAGAGAATGAACGTATAAATAGACAGAGAGAAGAAGAACTTAGAGCTAGAGAGGAAGAACGTAGAGAGAGAGATAAACAGAGACAATTTGAACTGGATAAACTTGATGAAAAAATTAGACTGGCGGAAATAGAGGCAGAACGAAGGGAAATTATTTTAAAGAGACAGAGTCAGTACGAACCTAGAGATAGACAAAGATATGTACAACATACAGCCAGACCGAGACAGCACGACGAACCCCGAGACAGACAGAGTCAGTATAAACCTAAAAATAGACAGAGATATTATGTAGAACTTTCAGCCAGACCGAGACAGTACGAAACCCGAGATAGACAGAGACAGCACGAACCCAGATATAGTCAGAGACAATATAAACCCAATAATCTAGATGAAGAAATTAGACGTGCGAAATTAGAGGCAGAACGACGGGAAATTATTTTAAAGAGACAGGCATATTATTATAGCGACAGTGACGATGACGAGAGTCAAGGGGAAGAAATATATTATGGCATTGCCAGCATTCACTGTGAGAATCCCTATAAAAATTTTAATAGAGTTTCTATTAATGTAAGTGAAAACAAATGTGTGGATAACGGTGGACATACTCATGATCCTGACCCCAGTGATTTATTAATTGATCCGTCGTCTAACGTTAAAAGGGACAACGTTGACCGTGCTGACATACCCCCAGTGGCAAAGGGTACAGATATAGCTTTAGATTCATGTCAAAACGAGGTTGAAGTAGTTGGTGTATCCCAAGAAGTCCAATGTAAAGAAGAAAGGGGACGACAATTTAATAAGGTAGAAGTCATTGGAAATGACCTTAGGTGGACGTATGTAGGGGATAGTCCCAGCGTCACAGTATGTAATGAACTGGTTGTTATGGAAACGGGCGGCATTGAAATCAAAGAGAACCCTGTTCTAATGTCTGAGGACATGATTTTTGTTGTATCTCATGGTGAGCCATCAGATAATGTAAGTCCTGAAGTTGATTTTTTGCGTGAAGTTGATGAGGTGAGTGTAATCCCTGAGGTGGGGGAAGGAGAGAAAATTGTTGTTGATACCGGTAACTATTGTGATGTAAATGGTTCAGTGTGTAATGTGAGCAAAGGCTGCTCAAATGTTGATATTTTTACAGAGATATGTACTGGTAATGAATATGAATTAGTTGATAATGTGAGCCAGGTGTGCTCAGGTTTTGATGTTACTGCAGAGATCTGCAATGAAAATGTATCACAAGTTGTTATGAGCAAGGGTTGCTCAAAATTTTATAGTATTACAGAGAGCTGTATTGATGATGAATCAATAGGTAATGTGAGCCAGGGCTGCTCAGATTTTCATATTGTTACGGATAGCTGTAATGATAATGAATCACCTGTAAATGTGAGCCAGGGCTGCTCAAATTTTCATATTGTTACGGATAGTTGTAATGATGATGAATCACCTGTAAATGTGAGCCAGGCCTGCTCAAATGTACATATTGTTACAGATAGTTGTAATGAAAATAAATTCCCAAGTAATGTGAGTGAAGGTTGTCCAGATTTTGAGAGCCAGGAGTGCTCTAACATTAAGTTGGAAACCAATGTTGAAAGTGTTAAAGAGAGCGCTGCCAGCTCTAAAGGTGCACTTGTTTATGATTTTCAAGAGGAGGTGAGTTGTCAGGTCCATGAGTTGGGAGGTGAGCATTTTGATTGTATTGTTAAACAAAATGAATCTGTTAAAATGAACTATTGCCATGATTGCCCTGAAGTTCCTGATTTGTTTGAGTTTCTTTTTTATGAGACTCGTTTTTCATTTTGTAACAATTTAAAAATATGTATTGTAAAACTGAGATTTCACATGAGTTATGACCACGGGTCAAAAGAACAGGGAGAGATAATTTTAATTATAATAAACATGTTGAAGCATAAAGTTGTGAAATCCACGGACAAAAGATATGTCCCGCCATCTGTAGCTGTGTTATTTAAGAGCAAATAAAGGCTGCTCAAATTGTGGTGAGACATCTCTCACCTGTAATAATGATAGTTTTGTGTTTCTATAGTGATGACCATTGGTTTTATTTAAAAATACACCTTTTTGATGATATGATTTGGATTAACTTAGTTATAGTTTCAACTTCAGTAAGGATATTGATGTATTTGCCCGGATTTTTGAGATACAAATATAATTATTTTTATTGGTATGAAAAATGAAAATTAATGTTGACATTCAATTTTAATGGTCTGATTTTTATTGTGGTAC